CTAACGTTGTTCAGCATGTTGGGAACATGCTTTTCCAATGGTACAGAAGTAACAGAACATGTGAAGCAACATTCATTTTAATCATTCACTTTTTTTTCCCTTTACTTTTCTCACATATATAATCTTTAATCTTCTAATTCGGTGTTGCGGCTCAAATCCAATCTCATTATCTAAACTTGTTTATACCTCAATCTTGAGTCACATCCTAATCTACTGTAAGTTTGAAGAGGATTTTTGTTTGTGTTGCAAGTTTTTTGGGTGTGAATTTTGTTGATGGGGATGGCATATTATTGAGATTCTTGAAAACTTGATACTTCATGATAATGTTATAAAATTTTGAGTAACTAGTGAGAATTGAAGTTCCTCTTAATTTTATGTAGAGTAACATCAATACAATGGACATTTTTCAATTCAAGTTCTTTTGAGTGGTACCAATCTCCTTGTACAAATATTTATAAGCAATCACCTTTATAGAACTTTTGTTAACTTCCTATTTCCTATTAAAAATAAATCTCAACTCATCATTCTCTTCTTTCACCAAATTTTCACATATCCCATATATTTAAAAAAGAAATTACATAAAAAGTATTCTTCTATTGACCAAATTTTCTCAACGTATAAATATCACCAAAATGAATTTTACTTCTTTTAACAGTCTTTTTCATATGTAATATTGGGATCGGAAATGAAACCCCTATTAATATACTTAAGAAATTTAATTATTTACTAATTATGTTAAATGTTATTTATTATTCATATCTACTGATATATCAGGCCACAAATGAACTTTCTTGTAATTGTAGGTGGCATAGTGTGTATAGATCACCTTTTTTTTATTTATTGAAAACTAATTTATATTTTTTTAACAATTCTTTCTTAAAAGATAATAAAATTCCAAAAATACGTTGAAATATCTTTCTTGGTATCAAATTTCTAAATATGAATAAAATCAATAAATCTGTATTGCCGATTTGCTTGAACATTTTATTGCAATGAAAAGTAGATTCTTGACTACGTGAAAACGTAAAAATTCATGATTGCTATTCGAGTAATATGATCACATTTTGTTCCAAAACAACCCAATGTTTCATGGTACAATTTTCTCCATTTATGATCTTGCTTGTTTATTAATGTGTAGCCCTTAAATGAATTCATATTCCAACCATGCATTGTGCAGATAGAATTGTTTCATCATGGTTTGAATTTGTGAAGTTGAAAGTGACTAATGATGGTAGTCAAAACATGGTTGAATTTGCTGATGCAAAAGTTAGGTTGCATCATAATAGCGTGGAGATATTTCATGATGTCAAACATGACGATATTTGAGAATAATTTTAATTAATTTGGGTTGATTACATTTTAAGCTTTTGATATTGTACTATATTGTATGACTTTATAATATAGAAAAATATCTCATGCAACAAATGCTCGGAGTTATGTCACATGGATATGTTTTTTGTTGAATGGTTCGACAAATGGATTCACATGTCGGGTATTGAATGTCAAAATTAAAAAAAAAATATTAATTGACTTATGATTTCAAATGTTACAAAACTCATACATACATGATGTATGATGACTATTAAATATGAACACCTCTTTTTTCGAGATTTGGAACTTGATTGGTTAAGTTGTGAGAGAGTTCTCTCTACTAAACTCAATCTCATTAGTATATGTTATTTGATTAATTTTTAAAAGTAATTTATGATATTGTTTTATAGTTTTTTTTTATAACTAATTTTTTATTTTTTTTAAGAAATTAAAATTAACTTTTGAAAAATATTAAAATAACTTATTTAACTTTTATAATTTTAAGCTATATATTTAAGCTTAAATATGTTTTTAGTCCCTCAAATTTAAGATAAATCTGTTTTTAGTCCCTCAAATTTAAAATTATTGTTTTTAGTCCCTGTAATTTCAAAAAATCTTATTTTAGTCCTTATATTCAAATTTTGTTAAGAAATTTATCAAACATTATTGCATAAAATCTATTTACCGATATTCTTATTAGTGAAAATATCACATTAAATCTAGTTAATATTGCATAACTGTCGTAATTAGTCACTTTCAAATATGTTATTGGTGATCTAAGAGACTAAAATAAGATTTTTGAAAATTACAGGGACTAAAAACAACAGTTTTAAATTTGAGGGATCAAAACCAAATTTACCTTAAATTTGAGGGACTAAAAACATATTTAAGTCATATATTTATAATAACTTTTTAAACACATCTTTAATAGATAATTTTTTTTATTAAAACGGCCCAAAATAATCTTTTTAATTATAATTTGTACAAATCAATAATTCAATCATCAATAATTAGATTCGATTTTATTTGACAAAGTTTCAAATTTGCGATTAAAAAATTAGTATTTTATCTTTTGTATTTCATAAGTTAAATCTTTATTATATATATATATATATATATATATATATATATAATTATAATATATTATATACACAAATAAATATTACTATATTTGAATATTTAAAATATATTTAAAATTTGTATAAAAATATTTTTAAACATATCAATTATATTTTTTTATTTAAGATAAATATATAATTTATATTGTGGCACAAAATCATTTTAAATTATTGTTAATTTATTTTAAAATATGAAATTTTAATTCATAATAAATATGATATATAAAATATTGAATTAGATGATAAGTTAAAAAAGAATTCCTAAAAACACTCCTATCAAATAATAGTCCCTAAAAATGTTTTTACTCAAGATAAACCGTTCATGATTAATTTATATAGGGTTGATTTTCCTCCAACAAATATCAACCTTTCACAATTGTCTCTTTTCCTTTCATAACCTTGAGGACAAGGTTTTCATTCAATTAGACGATAGAATGAACTAAAGATAAAAGTAGTTAAAAGATTTTATGGGATAAAATTAAATTATTATTGTATTTATCTTTTAATGTTATTAATTTTAATTCTATTAAATAGGATAATGACACTTGTGTAGAGTCATTTTTAGACTTTAGTAACTATTAAGTTATAGATTTATATCCCTCTGGCCTATGAAGGTATCAATGACAATCACAATCTATATCTTCTCTATAGCCTCTTATATCTCTTTAATGTTGAATATTAGGAATGGTGATAGAGTTGTATTTTTGTTCCTATGAAAACCCTACTAAAGGTGGTCAAAAAGATTTTTCGGATGAAATTAATCATCAATGAATCTAGTAGACACTTTGTATTAATAATATGGTCATAAACAAAATCAATAATTCAACCTCCCATACGTTTCTTTTTGGTTCGAAGCCACATGCTTTTGGAATCATTTGTTTTAGCTTCAGCATTGGGCAAACTACCTTCACGAAGGAACTCTAAAGATTTGGGTTAATTAAATAGGCTACTATTGGGGCTAGAACTAGTTACAACTTTATTTTATTAGTAGAGTAAAAGACTCTCCATTCTTCCAAGTACCCATTTGATTATTTTTAGTCATGCCCAATTATTTAAGTGTGAATACATGTACAATTATCTATAATATATAATTATTTGATGTACACAATTTTTTTTTGATGATTTTACCTTTAAATTTTTAAAAAAATAATATTAAAAATTAATCATTCTTACAAAAATAAGACTCCAACTCATGATCTTTAAATTTGAAGACTAAATACATTATCAATTGATCTATTAAATATTGACAACTTTTAAACACTTTTATTAAATAAAATATAGAGATACGAAGTGTTTCAACTCTACTATTTAAAAATAAAATGTATAAAAAGAATTTAAAAGATGTGTTTACCAAATATCCAATAAAATTTGATTATTTTATCATGTTATCTTATTCATTAACTTTACATTCACATTGTATATAAATTAAACTCATTTATGCTTGCTTAGCAAAAGCCATGTTCCAACAAACACAACTTAGATTTTAGTTATTAACTTTTAGATACTATATGGACCATGTAGATAAAAAAAAAATTAAATTCATTTATTTATTACATGTCTATGGTATGTATGTAAAGCTCCTTTGCAACCTTCAAATGTCTCGTACAATTTAGTTAATCAGAAACAACCCATGTTTCATTCATGTGTAGCCCTTGATTCCTTAAAAAAATCTTCAAAATGCTCCATAAAAATAGCCCAAACCCAACATTAAACTCGCTAAAGAAAAAGGATACACTTATCTTCAAAGGTAGGATCCAAAAGAAAAAAGAAAAAAGAAAATGACCATACAACAGTATGGACTAGATCATCATCGATGGATGGTTCATATGAGTACATCTTTTTTCTTTATTTAGGATTAAACAACCTTATTTTTTGATAAAATCTTCAGGTTTAACAATAAATTATTCCCAGCCAAGTGATCTCTATAACAGGAAGATATGTAGGAAATTAATAAGAGGAATATGTAGTTACTTGGATTGAGATTAAGGGGTATTTTGAGGAGTTTCTACCAAAATGTTAAGTGCGTGTTTGGTTTGGTGGTGAAATCATAGTGAACTGTGAGTTTAGTCAAACTTGGTTTGACTCAAATTTAAGATGCTTGATTGCCAAATCAAAATCATTTTCAATTAAAAAAACCAAGTTAGAATTGAAGCAATAAACTACAAATTGACATTTAAAACTCATTTTGATGATTATAAATTCAAAACCAATTTTGATTTTAAGTATCCAAACAACATTTTCTTAAAAAACCATTATTCTAATATCTGTTATTTAAACAAAAATCATGTTACTTTAAAAATCAATTTTTACTATAATCAATTATATAAATTACATTGGTCTAAACTATGATAGTGACTTAGGCATCCTCCTCAAGTTCTTACCTTAAATAAACTATGAACTTTACATTGAAACTTATCACATTAAATTTATGAAATTACATGCTTCATTCAATTGTGTTTGCACAAATGCGCCTTAAGTATATGTTTCAATGAGCTAATTTTATGCTCAAAACAGTTTATAACTAAGTTTTTCTCAGTAACTATTGAAAGAAAACAAACTTCCCCTCAAAAGTAAGCAAATCCAAACATGCTTTAACTAACATCTATGCAATGGAAAATGTTTGCATCGAGGCTGTGTTAAAGGCTATAATATGATCTAGAAATGGAAAATGACGTAAATGATGACAATTCCACTCCACCAAATTTCCTAACTTAATAAACTATTAATCACAGGATCACAGCTTTACATTGAACAAATTATAATGCAGAATTTGAGTGGTTCAAAATACCTTACTCTGAGGCTGCTACTTGTATTTCTCCATTATCTTTCTAGCTTCTTCTACAGGATCATCCATAGGAGTAGAGGTAGTTCCTCCGTTCCCGCTTGAACCTCGATCTTTGTTGAATGCTAGGTATGCAAAGTATGAAAGTCCTATGGTGGCCTATCAAACAGCAATTTACTGGTGTTAAACATAGCAGATAGCAATAAAGTTTAAAGCTTAGAATAATCATCATCTGGAATTGGGATACATTCAGCCATTTGTTTTTATTTTGGTGATGACAATACATTCATCTCTTTATAATAAGTTTCAAGGGGAACAAACATTCCTTTTTCTTTGTATAAGTTCCCTTCAAATACCTTGGTATGGCTAATATGTGATTTAGGTGGCAATGAACCCAAATGAATCCAACCAACTTGAAAATAGTTTGAAACTTTGATTCGGTAATTAATTCGTCGAATTTGGTTCATGAACCAAATGAATAAAGCTTGATAAATAAATGAGTCGAACTTAAATTGCATATAGTTCGCCTCATTTGATTCATGAATTGACTTGACATAAATATATAATTTATATAATTAACTTTCTATTTATTTCAACTAACTAAAATTTGAAAGAACATTAGAAACTAAGATACAAGTTAATAATAATAAAATAAGTGAACACTTTAGAATTTCATGGTTATGAATTGAATTTTTTATTATTTTATGCAAGGTGGAGTAATTTTTATTCATACAAACTTTGGTTGTAGTTATGTTACTTTAGAGTCATGCCTTATACCCTTGCAAAGTCAATAGAATAAGTTATATTTTGTCTTTTAAAAAAAAATAAACAATCATTTTATCTAATATCTATTGTTAAATTGAAATTTTGAAATGTATAAGATTAAAAAAAATTGATTCTTGATTCATGTGACTCAAGCTAATGAGCTAAATTGAACTTGAACAAAGTCAATTTCAAATTGGAAAAAAAAAAGTTCATGTTGAACTCGAGTCGAACTATTTTCAAGCCGAGCCGAGCTGAAACGAGCTCGACTCATTTCTAGCCCTATGTGATTGTCAAAACTGCTATCCATAAAATGACAACATTTCAGAGTTTTGAAATAATCAGAACATAGACCAAAATGGTGAATGATTGTGTACAGATCACATTTTTTTTTATGGGAGACAGAGAAGAAAAACACAAATGGCCAGTTGCATGTTAGTCCCATAGGACTCAGTTTTCAAGTTTTATCCTTGAAGACTAGGAAAAGTGCTATAGATTTGGCAAAGCTATATTCTACTAACCGAAGTCTATTTTTCTTGGAATACAAACCAAGCCTAAAAGATGCGATTCAACCCTAAAGCGTCAAAAGAGAAAAAGGAAAGGTGGCATCCGGTATAAGAGAATACTATGTAAAGGGGATCAACACAAAAACCGGCATAATTAGTTAGGCATTCATTTAAGATATCACAAGAAGTTTTTGGTTACATCTTCATTAAAAATTCTGGTGATGGCAATGATACCCAATTACACAAAAAAAATATTGGCATCTATCCAAATCCTACAAGGCAAAGATGCTAATGGTTGAAGCATGCAATCTTTTGTATAACACTCTTTATGGATGCGAATATTGTATAACACAATCATCTTAATGGATGAGTATGATAGCCTCGCCCTGAATGATTAGATTATTGTATAACAGAATTTTGGCATTGTTGAACAATGGAATTGATATTGTGACCTAGATTTGTCATTTCATGCCAACACTCTTTATGACCTCTCTCTCTCTCTCTCAAAATATACCTTCATCATAATGCATGGGCATGCATGGCAACTGATTTCATACGAAGAATTTGTATTATAAAACTATAAAATCATAATCCTGAAATTTTAATTTGATGACAATAATAAATTGAACGACTTACCAATATAAAGAAAGCTGTAGAGAGGAATGCCTTGAGTACAAAAAGAGTAACACTCAAAGCCACAATAGTTACTGAAATCCTTGCTATTGGCCTCGGTACAGAGTTCTAGCATCAGGGTGGAGAAGAAAAGAAAAGAGAAACATGAAAAACAACAAAGAAGGTAGGCATTCTAGTATTTGTGACAAAGTTGAATATAATAGCTAGGAATAGATCAAACAGTAATTTAAACTTTGGGGGGAAATTCTGACTTACAGGAACCAGATTAGTGCCTGCCTCAATTCCATCTTTACCAACTTTCCATACATTCTCCAGAACTAGTTCATAATCACAAATTTGAGAGCAATAGTCAGGCTTATTGAACAAGCCAAAAATCTGGCAAAAGAAACTAGGCAAATAAAAATTGGCTAGGGTTGATACAGAACAGCACAGCAAAAGGTAAATGCTCCTGATTCTGAAGGGAAGAATAACAACATACTTTCAACATACGACAATTCTTAATCAAATGGTGTTTTTCCTTCCAATAAAGATTGATAATCAGGAAGGAGTGCATCAACTTAATACCAATTGCCAGTATCATGTTAATCCCTCATGAAATTAAAAATGGCATGCAATCACCATGTTTCATTAAATACAGTTGCTATCATGAAAGGATCATATCATCCAGGTAGTCACATCTATACTGGAAAACTATCTAAAATCTTAGGAATAAGTTTAGGATTTTGAGCTTCACCTCCTTCATTAAATTTGACTTGCCATACACAAGCCACGGAAAAAATGCATCCATCAAAGAAACACCAATGCCAGTATAAGGTAACCAACTTTTATATCCCAAAATCAACAATTTCTTGAGACTTGATAGTTTGGTCCCATTTAACCCCAATAATCCTTAGAATACTTTGCCACTGTTATGCATATGTTTGACATCGGAAAATAGATCATAACATCCTGAATGTAATTTAATCCAAGATACCACATAATTGAATGAAGGTACTGCTTACTTTATTAGTTTTCTGTGAACTATAAGCTTCCTCATGAAAGGTTAATTCAGGTAAAAGGTGTAGTTTATTGTTAAAATAGCTGCAATAAAAGAAAATAATTTGAAGATTATATTGATGTAATGTGGTATCATGGTATGGGGCAATCACTTGAGAAAATCCATATTAGAGTCACTTACCTAAATTTTAACCATAATTTGATAAAGGAGAAAAAGCTTATGCAAGAACAAAATCATTTAGTATGACATTTAACAAAGACTACTATATACTCAGTTTCTTCACTAACATTCAACAGTCATTCACCCTCTCCATAAATCCTTCTGCTAACAACAAAACCCCTTAAAATTATCATCCATTCACCTTTTCTAAACACATCCAAAGTAATTTAATAAAAAAAAAAAAAAAATTGAGGCTAACCTTTTAAAAAATTCGATTGTGCTGCGAAGACTACAAAACTGGAGCGAGGTTTCTGGGTTCTGGAACTCCTGAAGCGAGTGTTTGAGCGGAAAGGTTGCGTCTTTAACCTCAAAAGGGAATTGGGTGAATGAAAATGATGATGGGTAGGAACCAAGGTTCGGTTATGGCGGCAATTTGGAAAGCAAGAAGCTACAGAAGGAAAATTGTGAATAACAGTGGAAGAAGACATTCTTTTCTCTCTCAGATATGTTATATTAACTGTGCGAAAAACTTAGATTATTCCGATGAAAGAGGATATGTTTGGTTTCATGTACACACTATGGAAGAAGTGTAGTGTAAATGGAAGGTAGATTTTGCAACAAAGCATTTGTAAATTGAAGACAAAAAAGAACATAATAGTATTGTAATTCTTTGTTCTCAGCCTCACAAAGCTGGGCCCATAACTTGGTCTCGTAGCCCAAACATTTGTATCCAGCTATTCTTGGTTGACAGGAAAACTAAATATCTGTCCACTTTGAAAATCATCAAAATATATTAACTGAAATAATTATTGTTTTTCGAAATAAAAATTAGACCCAAAGTAAGTTAATACAAGGATAGCCGTTAAAAGATAATAATACAAGGATAACTTATGCTATAATTTGTTTGGTATCTTAATAAATAAAGAGAAGAAGTTCTTTTATAATATTCACTTTCTTTTTAATTTTCGATTACTCTTATTTATCTTTTCAACATTGTTACTTATGAAAATTAATTTTATGTAATTTACTACGCATTTATTTCTCTTCTTTCACAAACTATTATTGTCTATTGTTTTCTCGCTCTTCTTTTTTCATGCAATTTACGATGCATCTATTTCTCTTCCTTTACAATCCATTGTTTTATTGTGAATCCATTTCTCTCTCTTTACAACCCATTACTCAATTGTTTTTCTACTCTTCTTTTTCTAGTTACTCTCATTTATATTTTCAATATTTAACTATTTATTATGTCCCTAAACAAAACTGAAACATGCTGTCTCTCCTGTCTATTTAAAATTAATTGTTACATATGCAATTTACTATGCCCTTCATTTTTCATCTTTTACAAATCATTACTCTATAATGGGATTAATTTTTTTAATTATAAAGATATGATTATGTAATTAGGCTATCATTCTTCTTCTTATATAAGCTCATTAATTATAACAAATTATTCATACACATTTAATATTTAATAATGAAATTTGTAATAAGTCTTTGCGTGAAAAAGTTAATACTTCTCAAAAACATATATTTTCTTAAAGTATCATATCTTTCGTTCATACAATTTATATGAATTAAAAGAGTTAATGTTTCTATTAAAATAAAACTCAAAATTAATCTCATTCTAACTCATTGAGTCACTTTCATTGCACTCATTCCTTTATTGATTTTCTATATCGTTGCATTACTTCTTCCTTGTCAACTTGCAATGGCCCCTTCAAACTTGATGCTTCCCAAGCTCTTCACGCTTTATTTTATTTTGCTTTATTATTGTACCTTTTAATCCAATTCAAGTGTTCTATATGATTTTTTTAGAGAACCATATTTTGTTGTGTTTCAAATTGTGACTTAATTGTAGGAGAATTATTATTTATAGAGTATAAAACTATTAGTGCTTTTTATTGATAGTTTTTATGTAAATTTTAGTGAGATGATTAAGGTGTAATATCACGTTGATACCGAGTTAAAGATTTCTCATCGATTAATTCATTAACTCATTCTTGGATGTGACAATCGTAAACCACACATTCTTGGATGTTAACAATCATTCAATCATAAACCATTCATTCAAGTTATTATAAGTTTGTACTAAGTTATAACTTTTTTCAATACTTTTATTTCAAAATAAAATTATATTTTTATTTCAATCATGATAATTACTAAAAATATACAATATATAAATTCATATATGAAAATAAAGTAATGCATTCTGATTCTCCCATTTTCTAACCGGTAGGAAGAAAGCATGGTTCAGCTTTCATATATGAAAGATATGGAAATAAATGTAATGCATTCTGATTCTCCAACTATTTATTTTTTAAAAGTATTTCAAAAAATAGAGATAATAGTTCTTTATATTTTTTTTAAAAAAAAATTCAGTCAAATACTCAAATGGGGTATATTCATCTAAATGACTTATTTAAATATTTTTTTTTTTATTTTTGTAATATGAAAATTTGTATAATAATACATAACATTTTTACTATCACTTCAACTCAAAATATTTTAATATGATTAATTAAACTTCATTTATGTTATTATGTATTTATGTTTATTTTATATTCTATTTTCTTGCACTGTGTCTATATGTCTTTTGGTTGAGAGCATTCTAAGTTTTAATCCCTATATAAATTTACACAATTTTAAGTTTTTATTACAAGTTAATAGGATATGTATTAGTAATGTAAAAACGTTTGCATTATTAATCAATAAAAATTATTAGGCTTAATTGTGTTTTTATCCCTCAAGTATTGTAATTGTGCAATTTTGAACCCAAATTTTTATTTGGGTAATTTTAGTCCCTAAAGGATTGTGATTGTGCAATTTTGGTCCTTTAATTTTTAATTGAACAATTTTAGTTCCTCAAGTATTATAATTGTGCGATTTTAGTCTTTTTCATTAAAAATTAAATAATTTTAATATATATATATATATATATATACAATGTTTTAAAATTATACAATTCATATATTATTATTTTTATAATAATACTAATAAATTAATATCA